AGATGGGAGGGAGGATGTGATATCTAGTTCGCTTAACCCTGATTTACAAACAAGATTCATTCAAGACGAAGTCAGCCACATTATGCCCAGCCAGTTGCACCATCCATGAAGGCAGAGAGGATATTCAGCAGGTTCTGACAGGTACTAGAGAACCGGAAAATTTGAGTAGTTTGGACAACCAGCAAATCCCACCTCTGACTAGCCCCGCCCCCCACCTATTCTCTGCCTCCCCAGTCCCAGCTGATTGGCCGGGTCTTTTTTGGTTGCCCTGCACAGGAGAAAGGAGCTGGAAAGCAGGTTAGTGGGGTGGGATGGAAATGGGGATTTACAGTATCCTTCCCCTGCCACGCCTGCCATGCCACGTCCACCAAGGCACACCCACAGAACCAGTAGTAAGAAAAAAAATTGAATACCACCACTGCATGAAGGGGTTACTGAATTAACCACAATGGGCAAGGGCTTCCCCTCCAAGGATAAACCCATAAATCTGAAATCTACTAATCACAGGGATGAAGTTCCCACACAGTATGAAGCCAAAACTAACCAACCATGTCGTATTTACCCCAAGACAAATTCCTTGTGTGTCCAATCACACTTGGCCAATAAAGTATTCTACTTTACCTCTACCTCTACCTCTACTCTACCTCTACTCTACCTCTACCTCTACTCTACCTCTACCTCTACCCTACTCTACCTCTACCCTACCCTACCTCTACCCTACCCTACTCTACCCTACCCTACCCTACCTCTACCTCTACTCTACCCTACCTCTACTCTAGCTTAGTATGAGGAGATCACAGGATCTCCTAACTTCTCCTGCCAAGTTATGGGATGCCCGACTCTTTAACTCCCACGACTCCGAGGTCTTAGCAGAAGGGTTCTTGTAGTAGTTCAACAAAAACCTCTGAAGATCCTGGTTGGGGAAAATGGAAGGACACCCACCCACCCCTTTCAGAGAGAGGGAGACTAACGGTGTGAATGAAATGACCCCAAAGGGAGGCGCCCCTTTCCTGAAGCCTCACCCTGGTGGTCGAAATCCTGCAGAAAGAGACTGATCCGCTGGTGCCTCTGCTCTTTGCTCAAGACGCTCCGATCCGGTTCGACTCCGGAGTCGGCGCTGCGCTTCTTGGAGGCTTCCAGCTGCTTCCTGAACGCCATGGAGAAGGAACCGATGCCTCCCCAAAAGAAACGCAGAGGGACCGGCTAAACTGGGGGGGGGGGATATTTATAGAGTCCCAGCCCCCGCCCCGTGGACACGCCCCCAAGAGGGGGTTGATTGGGGGGGGGACGTAGTAGGCGCGATTCCCAACTGAGCTTGTTTTGGGGCTGTAGAAGCAACGCAAAGAGATTCAGGTGGGCTAGATTTTTTTTGAACACCCCCCCCTCCCAAAAGCTGGGATGGGGGCAGTTCTGCACCTGCTAATTCAGATTGCCCGGCCAACAGCCAAAGGAGGGGGGAGAGAATGGCAGCTACATTACTCCCTCCCCACAATCCGACCCCTAAACCTGAAAGTCTAACTGGAGTCAGACTTGGGGTTCCTATTATCTGCGTGCAATGCTTTAAACCTGGTTACTGTGTTCTGTCTGGGTTTTGCAGCCCGTAGGATCAGAAGCTGATGCAAACTGGCTGGCTTTGCAAACGACCCAAACCTAACTTGGAAGGAACCAAAGTTAAAAGCAACCAAGGTTAACGTATATAGCGATTCGTGTAGCTTTTGCACCTAAGCTGGAGTTGCAAACAGCCACCTGACTATGGTTCCCTGAATTCAGTTCTTAGTTCATATAATGCACCTGATTGCTGATCAAATCCAACCAACAGTTTTATCAATCTGGGATCCCAACTTATGTTAGGGTGTTTAATGACCTCAGACATTTAATGAGGGTCCCTTATTTTTGCCTTGACTTGGAAAATGGATCAATATGAGCCCAACCATGGTTAAGCATTGCCCTGGCTAATGATGCGTGAACCAGGGTTATCTGACATCATGCAAATTAGTAAATGACTTCCACAGTTCATAATAGCTCTTTTATTTGTAAAGATCTTTAAAAAGCCACCCGAGAACAGGATGAAAAACATCAGAAGGCAGGAAAAACAAACTTAGACCATCACAATGTTAGCTTGCCTTGGTAATGGTTCTTGGCATAAAAAAATGAAACAACTCCCATAGTTTGATTATTTTGGAACTATTTGAGGATCGTATCCATCAAAGCTTGGAAGCAGATCTAAGAAAATGGCCATCACTAGCCAAGGACAATTAAGTGGACTGTTAATTTCCTTGCAGTAATGACAAATGTGATAAATCAGCCTTAACAATGCTTATATTATGCACCATATTCAGAGATGTAATAAACCCAAAAATGTTAGAAATCAAGAGGCACCATAAAATACAGCTCCCAACACAAGGAAAACTAGAAGTTGATGTCTTACAGTTAGAAGTAAATGAAAAGTATCACTACTTCCCATTTTTTAAAAATACAAAGAAAAGAAATATCTCTGTAAAAACATTACTTAGAAACATGTAAAGTTGACATAATTTTCAGTAGCATTAAAAAGTTAACACGAGAATAAAAAAATGAAAGACTACAAATGCTTATTTCCCATCCGTACCATATGAAAATGTTTACTTACTTACAAAAATATATATTTTAATTGCAACTGCTCAAGATGAAGCTTAACATTCTCTTGGACTGATTGACTACATACATGTCATGTAGTATATGGCAACGATGGGGGGGAATTGCCACTGCTTTGAGAACTGGTATCCTCTTACAAATGGATGCCATCAATAAAATATAAAATATGATTTAAGAGCCAGCCAATTGTAATTTTTAGTATAATCTAAGGAGGTTAGTTCAGAATTCAACAGAACTTACTCGCAACCAAACATAATAATCATTAAGAAAATAGTGTAGCTAGCAACTTCCAATGGAAAAGATGTTTGATATGAAGGTTTTGGAAAATGGCTCAGCCACTCAAAATAACATATAATCTTAGTAGTTAAGACTGAAACTTTCTGAGTACTGATGGTACATTTATGATATCAGTTGTAACAACTCAACTAACATGGCAAACTTCAATATGAGAAACCTTCAGATCGTTAAATCTGTAACTCTCATAGTATCTGAAGATCATTAGGTAGGAAGCCATTCTAAATCTTATTTTATGATACCCAAGTGTAAGAGAAGTCTTAGAGGTTGAGAAGAGGTATTTAAAAACCACACTTAATAGCTATTTCAGTCTTATCTGGCAAAGAGCCAGAGGTGGTATTCAGCAGGTTCTGACCAGTTCTGGAGAACCAATAGGGGACATTTTGAGTAGTTCAGAGAACCAGCAAATACCACCTCTGACTAGCTCCGCCCCCATCTATTCTCTGCCTCCCGAGTCCCAGCTGATTGGCTGGGTCTTTTTTGGTCGCACTGCACAGGAGAATGGAGCTGGAAAGTAGGTTAGTGGGGTGGGGAGGGAATGGGGATTTTGCAGTATATCCTTCCCCTGCCACGCCCACCAAGCCACCCCCACCACTAGTAAAAGAATTTGAATCCCACCACTGCAAAGAGCCCTTCAGTGAAGCAATCTGGGAAAAAGAAGCTCAAACTATCCTTGGAGATTGGCACCTTAATGAATTCACTAAGGTGAGGACATTCAATCTTTTCTTCTTCTGGAATTCAACTGATTAATGAAACTCCATGTGATTTTTTTCCTTCTACTGTAGGGTCGGATCCCATTAAGAGGATCCCATTAAGATGAAACAAGGATCAAAGTAGCAAGCAAGATCCCATTTTGTCATGTGAAAAGCATTCTGTTTCTTATCTTATCCCATTATTTGTGTTTTTATGTACTGCTACAAAGAACTGGTTATCCACAGATCGGCCTTTTAGTATATCAAACATTTACCCAATTAAGAGACTTGAATGAATGGCTTTGATCAGTTGAAATTCGACAACCAGGATCACCATTTGAAGCAGATGTTAAGTTTCCAAGTCAAGTCCCAGTCTAATATCTAATTTAAATTCAAGAGACGGATCTGAAGGCATCTGAATATTCATGGAGGCAATATCAAATTGGACCCTTTCTTATTGCTCAATCTTGTCTACATTGGCCTCTTTACAATTATTCAAGAGCAATCAGAAACCTTTTCATAAAGAACAATGATCAAGAAAATCAACAAATGTGCAAATGTTCTTCTATTATCAACTTGTGTTTACCATGCAAAGATATAATCCAATACCCCAACAAGGCCGTCTTCTTCTTTTGCTTCATTGCCTCCCAATTTCTGAAGACCTCACACTCATCAAGGCCAAAGGAAGCTTAGACCCACTAATTCTATCTTGGAAACAGCTGGCTAAAATTAGGTAGGAATTTAAGTATTGTTATAGTCCCCTACGTCTCTTTCCAGTTCCTTTCCTTCTATGTATTTCCCAGCCCTGCTTGAAAGCAGATAACATGAGCTTTCTTCTGATCAAAGAAGAGAAATGTTGTATTTTATACGTGGAGGCAATCTCGTCAGGAATTCAAAAGGCACTCAGTTCATTCTCTGATGGTCAGAACAAAATCTTGGGCCACTTATTTTATCCTGGAAAAGGAGATTGCAATACTTCTATTTGCAAAAGATTTCTGTCTAACTCCCATAGACAGGCTTGACCAGAAGAGTGCAAAATCATCTATGCCTTTAGTGTGGTATCTTCTATTTTGAAAGAAAAGCATAGAAGATTGTTTATCAACACCCAAACATCCAACCTAATCAAGTTTGGCTTTCGTACTGTGGGACAAAGGCAAATTTTGCAACATCCCACTTTGCAACCAATGACTGCATTAATCAATCTTTTAACGCATTTCCGGCATCTTATTATTGTAAGTTTGTTCCAGTATTTTACTAGTCTTTTCTATCAAACTGAAGCTCCAGTAATTGTAATTCCACCATGAATTTGATTTAAAAAAAAGACAGCCCCCTCTAAAAAGCATATTTTTCTCTCTTGCGGCTTGAATACACTTTCAAAAATACAGTCTAAAAAAAAAGAGTCTTTATTTTAAGAGTATTCCTCCAGAAAATTTATATGGAAATCTTTCACTTTCTTCAATAAGATCTTTAGTTTCTCGGCTTGTGGGAGAATCGTCATCCTAGAAGGAAAAGAAGAGGTACTTGAATAAATATTTTGTGGAAATTACAGGGGAAGAATCCCATAGTAACTTTGACAAGAGCATCTGTAAGGTCAAACCTACCTAAAGTGATACGTTCCTTTTCTTTGGCCAAACCCACTTCCGGGTACAACACAGATTCCAGTTTCTTCTAAAAGTTTCATACAGTAGAACATGTCGGGAGCCATTTGATGGGCCTGGAGTAATTTGAAGTGAAAGGAAGTTAATTGCTAATCACATAGTCCTTTTCAAATTGCTATGCTTGCTTCTGAATGCCACACTATTCTGCAACACTTAAATCTGAATGTTCTCATGTTCAAATATAGAATGGAATGGAATAGGAATATAGAATAGAATAGGAAGAATAGAATAGAATAGAAAACAGAATAAAATAGAAAACAGAATAGAATAAAATAAAATAGAAAACAGAATAGAATAAAATAGAAAACAGAATAGGGTAGAATAGAAAACAGAATAGAATAAAACAGAAAATAAAATAGAATAAAATAGAAAACAGAATAGAACGGAACAGAACAGAACGGAACAGAACAGATATATCCTATTGTTTAAAAGCATGTTCTCCAAGAAGCAAACATAACTACCTTTTCATTTACTGGAAGAGTAGAGCTATTTGGTAACACATAAGATATCCAGCTGATAAACCAGCTTTTCCAATGCTAGGCTCACATTCCCATCATGGATAGTATCACCCCCATAATGCAGCTTAATAAGTGAAACAGGCAATAAAACACATAAAGTATATCTTAGGTGCAAACTCAGCCAGCTTTTGGTTCCATTAAGGAGATGCAGCTAAACAACCGTGGCTTAGTGTAATGCACACATGTTTTACCTAAAGCAGGAGAACAGCTCCCGTTTCATTTCAGCTGCAGTAGCATTTCTTGTAGAGAGACAAGGCATTCTCACCTCTGCTATTTCAATGGCCTTGGCAGGGATAAATATCCGTGGGAAGGCGTACATGGCCCCTTGAAGTGGATTGCAGTGGAGCCCTGGCACTTGATTGAACAAATCTTCGGTGAGTTTGGCTTTCATCGCGAGGTTGTTCAAGACCGACTCCTTTTCCTGTGTTGTCAGGAAAAGTGAAAGAATGTCACACAGAGGGACACCTCAACTGGGCAGTTCAAACCAGCTGGCACTCTTCTACAGCTCTTCCTTTATTTCTTAGAGAGCATCAGTTCTTCAGGTTTTCAGCACCATCTAAAATTTCCCTCCATCTAAATTTTTGGTATATAAAATGAGAGCAGATGCCACTCTCTGCTAGCACTGATGATGTTACCTAGTTTGGCAATGAAACCAGAAGTGGTATTCAGCCGGTTCTGACCAGTTCTGGAGAACCGGTAAGTGGAAATTTTGAGTAGTTCTGGAGAACCGGCAAATACCGCCTCTGATTGGCCCCCTCCAACCCCATCTCTCCTCTGCCTCCCATTGAGTCCCAGCTGATTGGCTGGGTCTTCTTTGGTTGCCCTGCCCAGGAGAACGGAGCTGGAAAGCAGGTTAGTTGGGTGGGGAGGGAATGGGGATTTTGCTGTTTTCTTCCCCTGCTGCGCCCACCAAGCCACACCCACCAAGCCAAGCCACGTCCACAGAACCGGTAGTAGAAAACTTTGAATCCCACCACTGAATGAAATGTCTGCAAAAAAAAACAACCCACCAGGCTTAGAGAACACCAAACACTCTAAATCTAAACTTCCATCATCCCATAATCTGCATTTGCTTGGCTGGAAAACAGAAGAAGCTTCTTAGATTCAGTACCTTGTATCTCACTAGCTAAAGAAATCATGGGTAGGATAAATGAGTGAGTAAGCAAAAAAATATTCCTGCAAGGAGGACATAAATCAACGGTGATAGTTTATTGTAACATAAAATTGCCCAGAATACACTTGACTTGATTCTTCAGTTACCTTCAGTTCTTAAGTTTTGTTAGGCACTGTTTCTGTCAAATATTATCTGGGTTCCTGTATGAAACCAGCCAGGGGTGTAAATTATTTACAGTCCAGTCTAATCATATACGATTCCAGCGTGAATCCAGAAACTACCACTGAAAACATTGTTATCAGTGTGTTTAAACACTACCTACCCCCTTCAGACAATTGTACATGTTCTTGGTCTGGCATCCTCACATACTGGTTGGAAATGATTAAAGTTAAGTTCAAAGGCAAATTTGAAAAGGCACCAGATAGAGGAAGTTTGGATGAATGGAAGATTAGCTACTTTGTTTTTAAATAGAAAGTATGCCTTAAGAAAGTTCAAAACATTCTCAAAGATCCATCTCATCCTGGGCGCACACACACCCTTTTTTTTTTTTGAACTGTGACCATCTGGCAGACGGTACAGGATAATAATAAAAACAAGGACAAATAGGCTGAAAAACAGCTTCTATCCCAGGGCAGTAACTCTTTTGAATTCTACTGTATAGTGCTATATGAATGCAATATCAGGGGTTTTCAATTCAACGTGTAGAATGTGAAGGATGTGAGTTTGTGTTTATTTTCATAGTCACAATGTACGCTGAAGATGGTATTTAATTTCATTGTACGAGGTGCAATGATAATAAAGTAAACTAAAACTAAACTAAACTAAAATAGATGTTTGAAAATGGAAAGGGAATTCAGTTTTGGAAAATGGATCAGAGACGAATCCTTAAATTGGATAAATCAAAAAGGTGATTTTTGTCTTGGTGTATTTTTAATTTGCATCTATCTCTTCTGGCTGCCAGAGGTTCAAGAGCTTTAAGAAGGGCAGTAAAATGAAAACATCTCAAATATATGAACAAACCTTAATGAATTGGGCATAGGATTCATCTCCAGGAACAGGAGGGTTCACGACAACATCCATAGCAGCTTGACCTGAGACGGGTGGACACAGACGGACAGAGAGGAGCTTAAGTAGCTGCCCTTTAATTTCTGGGTGCAGGTTTATCACCTCCATATAGCCGCCTCGGTAGCCACACCTGAACACCAGGCAGAAGCCACAGGAACAGAAAAGAGAAGAAAAGGAGAAAGGGGTGAGGAAACGTGAGGGTGAGAAAAACCAGCATGAAATTCTCGCAGTGGCAGAAATGCAACCTATAAAGTCTACAGCTAATGCAGGATCCAATTTTAATCTTCTGAGAAAGGAATGGCAGCTGCTTGGTGGATTAGGCTGGCATATAAACCAGGGTTATGCATTGTGGCAGAGAATTTTTAAAAAAATTCAGAGTTCGTATGGACATAAACATTCTTTTTTTCCCCTTTATCGTTAAGGTTTAAGTTATCTGAACCATCAGAGCATTAATAATCTCCAATCAACTCCCTATAAATACTACTGTACCCAAATAATATAAGGTGCTACTTGTTTTGGTAATAGTAGCTTTTTTTTTTTTTAACAAAAATCGACATGCCACACCTGTGCAATTCAAGCCACACCCCTTTTATACGAAAGAAGTGAGGGATTGACCTTGCCACGGCAAGTGATTCAGTAAATGGATTAAATTTATATTTACCGACAAAGAAACAAATATAAATTTAACATAAAATAGGTTGTGGCGAAAGCCACTGGCCTGCGAAGGCTCCTGGATTGGGGCTGAGAGATGAAAGTGGAAGCAGTATGCTCTGTCCCATAATTGGGTAGACCAGGTTGCCCTGATAGAAAAAATAACCCATTTAAGTAAATGGATATTGCACAGCTACAATTCAGAGGTGGTATTCAGCAGGTTCTGACCAGTTCTGGAGAACCGGGAGCGGAAATTTTGAATAGTTTGGAGAACGGGCAAATACCACCTCTGACTGGAGATTTTACAGTATCCTTCCCCTGCCATGCCCACCAAGCCATGCCCACAGAACCGGTAGCAAAAGAATTTGAATCCCACCACTGCTACAATTCCATCCTCGACCGTTGAAACTTACTCGCCCATGTAGCCCTTGGAAGTGGAATGAAAAGAAGCGAGTTCGACATTATTCCAGTAATCGGGTCCCATCTCATAAAGGATTTTTTTGAAGGAGTAAAACTGGCAGTTCTCCGAGTAAACGTTGTCTTGATACACCTGCGCCCCAGAAAAGACAGGATTTCAGGGGGTTCTCAACTTATGACCATAAGGGAACCTACCCAAAGCTCATCAACACAAAACCCATGCAATTTTACGACCTTGCTTTGCAGCGGGCGGTAAGCGAATCACCATGGCTATTACCTACACCTGTTGTTTGCTATGGGGCAACTAAATGCTGAGTTTCAGCAAAAGCTGTAAATTACGGTCACATGATTGTGGGATATGTCTACTCTAAAGCCTCTACTCTACTCTACTCTACTCTGCTCTACTCTACTCTACTCTAAATATGGGTCAATTACTCAGCGTCCCAATGTGGATGTCAACTCATAAAACATTTCTATGGCTGTTTTATAGTTGCCAACAGAAAGAGCAGTGCAGCAGCTTGGAATCAAAAGTGCATTCCATTCATAGTTTTTCAGAGATTGTAACCAGGTGACTGAAGTTTCTGCTGTGCAAAAATCTAATTGGAGAACATGATTGATGACTCTTGGCTATGGACGTGTTTTGTTGGAGAATATGAATTAAGATACACCCAGAGGGGTGGGGGAAAACCAGGGTCAGGGGTGACAGTGAATTACGTGTCTCGGAGTCGGCTACTCCTAGGTCATGCTGACATGTTAACTCCCAATAAATCCTGTGTAGTTTTGGAAGTTTAGCTTGAGACTCATGATTTAATTGGGGTAACTGCCAGAATCCTGACAGTGGATAAATGACCACGGGGAGGCCTCGTCCTTAGGAACCAGGTTATAAATATCTTTCAGGAGGACTGTAATAACTTCGAACGGTCACTAAGTGAGCATTCATAGGTTGAGGACTACCTGTAGGTTCCTACATTATAACATCATTTTTTAATACTCGGCAGGGAAGAATCTAGAGCTCTTGATGCTCTTTATGTCATGGAATCTTCTCTTTATACCCAGCAGAGTTGTTTTCTGATTTTTTTAAAAAGTTCTTTGAATGTAAATACAAACATTACTGTGCTCCAAAGAAAGTCCCAGACTCTAATATTCGGAGTTTCATGAGAGTCTTATCAGCAAGTAAATATGCACTAAACCACACAATTTTCATTTTCTAAGAACAGAAATAGCAATTAGACTTATAATACCTCTTCGCAGTGCTTTGCAGCCCTCTCTAAGCAGTTTACAGAGTCAGTCTATTACCCTCAACAATCTGGGTCCTCATTTTATCAATCTCGGAAGGATGGAAGGCCGAGTCAACCTCAAGCCGGTCAGGATCGAACTCCAGACATTGGCAGAGTAAGCCTGCAGTACTGCATTCTAACCACTGCACCACCATGGCTCTTCAAGAATGGTCATGAAACATATGGAAGGCCCAGGAATAGGCCCTCCATAGGTTTCATGGATTGGATGAGGCATTTCTCTAGGACAAATAATGTATCGAGCTTGTCCTTTAGTATCTGACAGTTTTGTGATCGGCCCCCCTGATCCCGACGGCCATTTTGTGAGAACATCACAGCAATAGGTGCTCTCCAATTTCCAAATATGTTGCTGTCTACAAAGCTGAATATTTTCATTACCTCATCAGCCAAAAGAAACAGCTTCTCTTCCCATGCAAAGTGTATCACCTCTTCAATACATTTTCTATTTTGAACTTGACCTAAAATTCAGGAAGAAATAGGGGGGGGGAAAAGATTCAAACCACTCCTCTTTTCCAATGAAACAGAGGTTACGTCAATCATTTCTTCATTCCAGAACAAAAGAGCATCTGTCTTCGCTTTTGATGTGAGGGTTAGGGAGGGTGCACAAGGTTGTGAGGGATGCACAGCAAGAGGGGCAGGGGGACAGCGTGAGGGAATGCACAAGGGAAGTGTGGCGAGGGTTGGGAAGGATGCGCAGGAGATGTGGCGAGGCTCTGAGAGGGTTTGAGGAGTGTGTGCAAATGGCTAGCACAAGTGCAGAATGGTTGGGAAAAGTTGCGTAGGTGAGGGAGACCTATCTTATGGACTTGTGACCTTTCCTGCCGGCTTCCCCAATGACTTTCTGGGGAAGCCAGCGGGCAAAGTTGCAAATGTTGTAAGTGTGAGCCAGTTGCACACAATCACATGACCGCAGAGATGCTGGGGTGACTAGAACTCTGAAGACCGGTCATCACCACCATGTTTAAGCGCTGTTGAATGTTGGCTGAACAATGGTCGTACCTCGAGGACCGCCTGTACACAGACATCATTATTTACTACAACCAGGCCATAGAGAAATGACACAGAAAAAGTGGGAAGAGCAGACCCATAGAAGTTTTGCACACCTGTGGGGTTTCCAGGATTAATGATGCAAAGGACCTTGGGATTACAATACGCTTTGGCTTCATATAAGGAGCGGCGTAATTCGTTCACATCTAGGGCCCAGCAGTTCTCTTCGTCCAGGTAATAGTTTACCTGGATGGCATCCAATTCGGAAATAGCAGCAGAATATAAAGGATACTGAGGAATTGGGATCATCACTCCGGTCCGGGTTCTTCCTCCCCCAGAGACGAGGATCTTGAGAATGGTCTGGAAGATGGAGGAAAGATAAGTTGGATTAGAATTTCCTTTGCTTCTCAAACTGCATTGAATACACAAGAGTATATTTCGGAGTTAGAAAAAAAATCAACCAGAAAAGAACTTTAAGATCTTGAAAAGGCTGGATCAGTAGAATTGCTGATCCAGAAATACTGAACAGGTAAGTCCTCAAGTTATAACCACAATGGAGCCCCAAATTTTTTTATGGCTAAGTGAAACATTTGTTAAATGAGTTTCACGACTTTTCTTGCCAGAGTTGTTAAGCGAATCATTGCATGTCAACTCAAAAAACATTTTGTATACACGTTTTGTAGTTGACAACAGAAAGAAAGGGGGGGAGTTTCAAAGAGCAGGTGGCAGTGTGGAATCGAAAGTACATTTCATTCATATTTTCTTCAAACACTGATTAGATGACTGAAGCTTTGGCTGTGCAAAAAATCTAATTGGAGAGCATGATTGATGACTCTTAGCTATGGATGTTTTTCGTTGGATGATACACCCAGAGAGTGAGGGGGAAAGCAGGATCAAGGATGACAGTGAATTGCGTGTCTCAGAGTTGGCTACGCCCAGGTAAATGCTGGATGTAGAATGTTACCTTCAAATAAATCCCCTTTAGTTTTGGGAGTGTGGCTCAAGGCTCATGATTTCATTGGAGTAACTGCCGGAACCCTGACAGATAGCCAACTCTGAGATACATAATTCACTGTCACCCTTGATCCCGCTTTCCCCCACCACTCCTCTGGGTGTTATCAGCCATCAAAAAAGTTAGTGACACGGTTGTTAAGTGAATCTGGATTCCCCATTGACCTTGCTTGTCAGAAGGTCACAAAAAGTGATTGCAAGACCCAGGGATACTGTAACCGTCATCAATAGGAGTCAATAACCAAGCATCTGAATTTTGATCATGGAGATGCTGCTACGGTTGCAAGGGTGAAAAACGGTCGGTCCTAAGTCACTTTTTTCAGTGCCGTTGTAACTTTGAACGGTCACTAAAGGAACTGTGGTAAGTCAAGGACTACCTGCAATACCAAACTGGGCCAGGTGATGGCATTTTAATCGTGTCATTTGTTTTGTTTAAGGTAGCAAAAACAGCCAGATGCAGGAAAGGAACTGTTTGAGAATTACTGGTACTTGTATGTTAATGTAACTTCAAGTTGTTAAGTGACCGATTACAAGTTGAAGGTTACCTCTAACCCAACCATGGGGGGAAAATTGGGTTTTCTCCTGGCAGTCATCCAGAACTGCAGTCTGGATGATCTTTACAGCCAGAATTTTACAGCCCAAACAAAGAGGGGGAAATGTTGAGACCAGACGAGAAAGAGATTTCTACCTTTAGCAGACTAGACTGAGCATTTCTTTTCAGGTTCTTTCATTCGGTCTGAATAAACCTGGGTCCTTGGTCCCAAACATCAGAAGATGCTCCCAATGCCACTTACAGCAATGCCGTCACTTGCGCCTGTGGTCAAGTAGATGTTCTCTGGATCTGCAGGGACGCCGCCATCTCGCCGCTCAATGTACACCGCTACGTCTTCACGGATGCAATTGACTCCTTGGCTGGCGCTGTACGAACCTGTGAAAGGAAGGAAAATGCCAGCTTTCGAAACCCCCGAAAGATGTGTGGAAATTCTTCTAAGAAGTTTCCTAACCCTCTATCTGTAACATCTGCCCATCAAATAAACTCTTTCATCAATTAACATATTGAGAAAAGAATAAAGATTAAATCTGAGTCAGATTTCTCCCATCCTTCTGTCTCTGCCTTGAAACCAAAACAGATCAAACGGTACGTTTGTCACTTCAAGCTGAGGTCAAACATTGCTCATTATGAGCACTGATGATGTTACCTAGTTTAGTAATGAAACGTCTGCAAGAAACCACCGAATTCAGAGAGCACTAAGAACCCTCACAGTCACAGTTCTCCCACACTCCTCTTAGTGAGAGAACAAAAGTTGGTCCTTTACAACAAACAGAATAAAAATATACCCAGGACACACAGGGACCCAGAGAGCTTTGAGTAATAATTTGGAGAAAGCTGATGTTCTGTTTTATGGTTCAATTATATCTTGTAAGGTGCTTTTTTAAAAAAAAAACAGACCCCCCGAGATATTTCTTTTGTGAGTGTTTCAACTTTTCTGTGCACTCTATGATGCTGTCTGGATCTTGGAATTTTGGAATATATTTGGAACTATTTTACTGCAGGAAAGATTTACCAAACATGGCCCTGCCATAATGACAAGGAGCAATGACATCCTTTTCTCATATCAAAATAGTACATGGTGGTGTTTTTTTTTTGTTGATATCAGGGTGATCAATGACAAGATGCATTGATCAAAGCATCTCCAATAATCCCAGGAGGCTCAACCTTACATGCAAAGAATAAAAACAGGACTTGTTTCTCAGACATGAAGACACGACATACCTCAGCATATACATTATTGTGTCAGGGTTGTCTGTGGGAATTGCTATCTGTTTCCTCGCGCGCGTGCAAGGACAACGGGCCTTCTGGTAGTTGTTTGTAACACGAGGCGAGGGACAAGGTCGAAATGTTGCCACTTCTTACCCAGAATTGTAGCAAACTTAAACTTTACAGCTTTGTATTCTCATATGGTATTTTGTGTGATGTAATGAGTTTGTAACAACACACTAACAAAAAATTGCAAACGTTAACAAAGATTGCTTCTAATAAAAGAGGGTGTCAGAGCTTGCCCTGTGCTCTCATCCCGATTTGGCTTCAAGACGACTGCCTCAGTGTCTTCATTCATGAGAGACCACCATAACTGGTGACCCCGACGTGATCATCTGCGAGGTGGTACGTCTTTGGACCATCCATACTCATCGGCTGGCATAGCCTTGGTATACCTCATCCCTGATTCGATCGCAGGCGATCGCCGTGGATCCCTTCGTGAGTATGGGTGGAGGATTCTCTCGGGACCAGAAATTGCACATTGAGGAACTAAGAGAATCAACCAAACGAAATTTTTTCCTTTTTAAAAGAGGGGGCTCTCTTGAAAAACCCCTCAGTAAAGCCTCTTTAGACACTTCCGAAATGATGGCTGCAGCTATCACCAGAGGTAATAAACCATCTGGTAATTGTTACAATTGTGGGAAGCCTGGTCATTTTAAATCACAATGTCGAGCCCCGGCGGGGGGGCAGCAAAGCCCTCCGCCAGCAGAGATGCTCGACAGTAGAGGGGCCGGCAGCTAGCCCCTCTCCCAAGGCTGCCCATATACCATCCACTGTGTATGAATTATCAATGGCAGAAGATGTGTTCATATCCTTTCCCCATCTCTGTCAGCACACAGCTTCCTCCTTCTGCCTCCTTCTTCTCCGATAAAACTGCTCTTACAATCTCACCCTCATGCCCTTCTCAAAGGAATCTCTGTGGTTCCCGATCTGCTCTATCCTTCCTCAAAACTCTCAGCCTCTCTCTCTTTTTTTAACAAACTTTGTTAATTTTTAAAGACATGCAGAACATGGATACACAGAAACACAAAACATAAAAGCATAAAAAATCTCTTTTCTGAAAGTTGCTCAGTCCCAGGTCAAAACTCTTGGTACAGACACAGATTCAGATTCGTGTTCATTTTGCATACCATTGGCATTTTGCATACCATTGGCATTTTGCATACCATTGGCATTTTGCATACCATTGGCATTTTGCATACCATTGGCAT